TCTGACAAGTTTCCAAAATATCGTTTTTCTGTGTTTATTTATTTAAATGAACAAAAAAAAAAAAATCTAATTTTCTTCTCATTCAAAAAGTCTAACTTGTTTGGGAATACTAATGAAACCATTAAACATTGGATTATTTCTAATTTAAATAAAATGTAAATTTTTATCCAGCAGCTAAAACTGAGGGTGAAAATATGAAATGTACTCAAAAAGATTGAATTAAGTTTTAAAAAAGTTTTAAAGTTGGAGTTAAACATCCACAAAATACATTATAATAATGATTATTCCTGATATGTTTCTGTTTATTGAAATATCCATGAATTGTGTTTTCGGGCTTCATCGGGCTGCCTGAGCCTTTTCTGTAAAGTTACATTTACAGCACATAATAGATTTCTTATATGTCTAAAATGTGTCTGTTTCTAATATTTCAGAAAAGTTGTAAATATTTAAAACCGTCCACCATAAAACTTAGTTAGTTTGTAAATTACAGACATGAAAATAGTTCAAACTTTTTTTTCATTGGATAAAAAGACCCATTTTAAAAAAAAATTGTGTTTGAAAAATAAAAAAAGTTTTTTATATCACTGAATAAAACCTACATTATTATTATTTATAATATAAAGCACAAAATGCCAATTCGGGCAGCATTTCAGTGGATCTTTATCACTCTAAACCAAAGTAAATCTGTTTTTACGCAGCTCGATTTTCACGTTGCGGTTAGAAAATGTGGATTTTTTTCTGCTGCTGGAATTAAACAATTCTCACAACAGCATCAGGATGAAGCTGATTACAGAGCAGATTAATTATGGGAGAGACAACAGCCTTCGGCATGTCCTTATTTTTTATTTCTCCCTAAACTCCGGAGGCCGAGCGGCTTCAGGGAAACGGGACGAGATTAAAAAGGCAGAGCAGCAAACGGAGGACGTGATGTCTGAGGCTTCCTTCTGGGTTCAAACCCGTTTCAAACCTGGACAACCCGCCATTTTCTAAAGTTAAACTCAGATAAAACTCAAGTTTCAAAGACAGACAACAATATACGGCACAAAATGTTAAAAAATCCATGCAACTGCTTCCAAGCGTTCCATAAAAAATAAAATATAGAAATGAAATGAGGGGAATTGTTCATAGAGTTCCCACCATTATGGAAAACCTGGACCCATAAAACTCTGTATGCAAAATTAAATTGCTGTGTTGTTTAGTTTTTATGTAATCTTGAGTGCACAAAAAGTTAAACATGTTCTGTTTATGTCACTTTATGAGATTACTCAAATTGGAGGATTGGTAAACATGAACAAGATCAACTTTAAAAGTTTACGTGTAATGTAAATGACAGAGGAAAACAACACGCATAGTTAGCTAAAAACAAAATTATAAAACCGTTTTTCACTCGGCTCAACCTAGCCCTAGAACACCAGCAAGTATCTCTATCCAACACTTTATAGGGGGCCTAAGGGAGCCCTATTCTCTCTCTCTCTCTCTTGACCTCTCTCTCTCTGTTTCAGATGCCCCCCCTCTGGTTCTGCTCCAGGGTTCTGCCTGTTAAAAGGCAGTTTTTCCCTCCCTGGGTCACCTAGTGCTGCTTTAGGTGGGAATTGTTGGGCTTTTGTAAATAATTCAGGGTCTGACCTGCTCTGTTTGGAAAGCTAAGAGATTCCTGTTTTGGGGATTTGGAGCCTGGTTCTGCTCCAGGTTTCTGCCTGTTAAAAGGCAGTTTTTCCTTCCCTGTGTCGCCTAGTGCTTGCCTTTGGTGGGAATTGTTGGGCTTTTGTAAATAATTCAGGGTCTGACCTTCTCTGTTTGGAAAGCTAAGAGATTCCTGTTTTTGGGATTTGGAGCCTGGTTCTGTTCCAGGTTTCTGCCTGTTAAAAGGCAGTTTTTCCTTCCCTGTGTCGCCTAGTGCTTGCCTTTGGTCAGAATTGTTGTTCTTTTGTAAATAAATAGGGTCTGACCTGCTCTGTTTGGAAAGTTGGGAGATTCCTGTTTTTGGGATTTGGAGCATGGTTCTGTTCCAGGTTTCTGTCTGTTAAAAGGCAGTTTTTCCTTCCCTGTGTCGCCTAGTGCTTGCCT